CACTGTCTCTGCTGACTTATTTGAGCTTTTATCACTTAGCTTTTTGCACTTTGGTTGACTTCTCAGCATTTTCTCCCCTTTCTTCTCACAACCCACATGGCTAGGGTGTCTTATATCATGATCAAAGAATGACAAATGACATCTGCAAAAAGCAAGGTTCTGTTTTTTGGTGAGAAATAATGTATCACAGAATGGGGGCTGTAAAAATCCTATTACAACACTCCCATTACCATCCTTTTAGATCAAATCCATTTATTTCAGTAAGTAACATCATCATCCACAACTGATGAAAAGCACTCAAAGTTCTGATTTTAATTTGGTTCGCGATAAGATTCTACTGAACAAAAGTATTAAGTGTATTCTAAGCAGTTTCTGCAAATATAACCAATTTCTACAAGAAGCACACAGTTTTATGTTTGAATTCACATCAATATGAAATCCTAATTGACTATTTTCATTTCACAATGAATTAAAAATCAAGTCTGATCTGTTCTCATCAATTACCAGAATTCACCTTCAATGCCCTTCAAAAGGCAAAGGCAGACGTTTTAACCCAAGATCTTAAGATGTAGACAGCACAGTGACACAGTGGTTATCATTGCTTGCAGTGCTCAAACCCAGCATTCAGTTTGTACAGCATGTTCTCACAGTATCCATGGGGGTGTCCTCCCATAGTCCAAAAACATTTCTTCCACATTTTTTCATTTATCTTTTTTAAAATGTTTTCTGGGAAAATTGGCCCTAGGTGTATGTCAGCCAGCCCTACAATGGACTGGGGTCCCATCTAGGGTGAAGGCAACCTTACACCTATAGACAGGCTCTGGCTGCTCCACAACCCCAAATTGGAAAAGCGGTTACATAAAATGGATGAACAGATTTTAAGAAATCTAAAAACAGGTAAAACCTGTTCTAAGTTTCCCTCAGAAAATCTGAGATTTGTGGGCGTGTGAGAACCTACTCCTAAAGCTAGCATAACCCATATCCTTGATGTTATCCCAAGCTATCAGGCTTCCTGTACTTTAACTGAAAATCCATGAACTAAAAAAACTATTTAATGATGAACGTCCATTTTGCTAAAAAATGGCATTATCAACAACTCAATTACAGTTACAAAAGGAGTCCCACTTTGTGAGTTATTAAAATCTTTTGTTTCAAATCCTGAGAACCAGGAGACTAAACAAAGACTGGAATGTTCCTCTAACAGAATTAGGTTATCAGAGGACAACCAACACAATAGCTTGGCTACACATTCTTGAATATGAGCTCTCCATTTCACAGAGAATAATTAAGCTGTGCAGTTTTCTTTTTCCAGACTTTACTGCCACATCATGTATACAGACCCATTCAAACTACATCGCAGGAGACTGCAAGCAAGGGAGCTCTGTGTGTACTTTGAGCACCTAAACAATCCTGGTTTTCTCGCTCAGTGAACTTATTCACCGGAAGCTGTCCAGTGTTCACCCAGGCTAGCGCGCACAGCCCCTTAAAGCTCATAATTCAGTCTACCAAAGAACAGAAACCGCTTGAGAGCTCCTCACTACATGTCCTCAGCTCACCTAAGAACAGGTCTCTGCATTTTCCATCTGGGAACCATTTCTCACCTAGACTGCAGATGGGCTATTTTACATCATATGACTCATGAGCTGTAGAGTTACCCGCTTTCAATTACAAACTCATATTCCTATCAGTGAAAGCTCTGTGGTTGCAGACTGTGTAGCATAATGCAAAAATGAATATGTTACTTTATTAGGGAAAAGTTGTAACTAGTAAACAAACCCCTTTCAAGATGATGGGCCTCCTCCGGCTCCAGACTGTAAGCATGTCAGTGCTGATGTTCTTGTAAGCATTTGCCAGTATCACCCGACAATGCTTTGTGATTGACTGAGATCTGCGTTGCTAAAGCATCTCTTGATAGAAAACACCAGTTAAGCAAGAGCTATTCCATTTTCTGCACAAACTATCGCAAGAACCTTTTCTGATGAAGCAAAACATTGATTATCACATAAAATTACACTCATTTCTTTGCTTGTTCACAAATCATTAAGCAGCAAAATCAGATTTATTCCACCAATCCCGAACAGGATTAAGACCATATATAGAAAAATTTGTTTGAATGCAGCGTCTGGAACTACATAATTAGCAGAAGAGATGTAATAAATATTCATAAACACTGCAGGTACCCAGCAAAAAGTAAATGTCTTAAAATAAACAATGGAAGCAGTATATTTATTTTTGGAAGCAATATTTTATTTGTTTTACATATTTCTTTCCTGGCCTCTTTTCAAAGTAATCCATTATGATACTGGATCTATTCACATTAGTTTAATGCAAGATTACCACATAAAACATTTGACTTATTTACCTTTGAAAAATTTCTAATGAAAAATCCAAATTAAAAAAAAAAACAATCAGTACAACCCAGTGCTAAAGGGAAAATATTTAATATTCAAATTTGTTTGGAAGAATTTTTGTAAAAACAAGGCCTCTGGGATTTTTTCCCTACCCTAGTCTTCAAGATATTAACATCAGGATATACTACAGAAAAGAATGAGGAAATATTAATTAAATTGGTGATACAAAGCCAAATTAAGAGTCCTTTTATAATGGCATGAAGTGACTTTCAATGACCAGGTGATTTCCATTTCCAAAACATTTATGAAATCACAAACACCATGTTCTGATTGGCACTGCCTATACATCCAAGTGCTACAGCATGTTTGTTAAAGGATTATGGAGATTACTGCCAGGAAAAGCATACCAAACCAGGAGAAAAATTAACAGGAATAATTAATGTGAGCTTCAGACATTTATTATACTAACTGAAAGCTGAACTTGAGCAAATTCACTTAAGTGTTTTGCATTCCAACACAAAGGCCAATGGGCAATAGTCTTTAACCCATATAATGCAGATTAACACACTGGTCTTGGGTTCCCAGCAGCAAAGACACTGCAAAGGCCTAGTCTGCCTGCCTACTAATGTTTCCCCTCTGTAACAACGGCTAGAACAAAGTTCATGGGAAAGGATTTATTTCCTCCCCTGTCTAAGCCCACTCAGACCGGAATGATTCCCACAGCTGTTCCAACGAAGTATGATTGGCCTAGAGAAAAAAAAAAACAGAGAATTTTGCACTCCAGAAGTGTCAGAAACAGCATTTTCATATAATATTGGGTGTATTTTTCTCATACACTAGATTGCCCTTGTTCAAAACAGCAAATATTTTTAATTAGGATTTAATTTAGACACTTTAACAACAGAATTCCCACTGAGCACTCTTGCCGTACAATGGAATTCAGTATATTATACATTAAATATGCCTGCACTCCTGTGCATAAAAGCCATTTTATATTAATGAGTAGCAAATATTAACTGTAATGAACTGGTGTCCCACCCAAAGTGTATCAGTCTTGTACTCACACTGAACCTGGTTAGGATCCAACTCGCAGAACCCAGTATTAAGTCTAGCAGCTACTGAATATGGATGGTTACTAATCCAGACAACTTCATAAAGGAGTGGCTTTTTATGTGCCATATGAAAAGCAAATAGCCAACAAGCTTTGTAAATTTTAGAATTGAAAACGGGAGACATGTCAGGCAATCAAAACCAGATTTTTTAGGTGTAAAATAGCATCTTACGTCTGAGTAAGGGAAGATGAATACGGACTCCACACACTACAATCTAGCGAGCTCTCCCTTAATGCTAACAAAAACTGTTCCCTCAAGGCATGAAAAGCACAGACACACAACAGCCAAGGGGAAAGCAAAGGGGAGAAAAATACCATACTGGGATTGAAACCATTAAAAAAAAAAGCAGCGTCTGTACTCGGTACCAATTATTCATCTTGTGCGGCTGTTTGTTATAGAATTACAAAATGCTGACAATCATGAACTGACTTTACGTATGCCCGACTTCAAAATGCAATGGAATTTACAGCACTAAGACCCAGAAGAAGCTCGAATCGTGAGTGAGAAGTGACCCCACCCTGAGAGACAAAGACCCTTTAAATCGTAATCGATTCGGCTTTCTGAATTGAGAGCGCGATTCTCTTGAGGCTTACAATACTAACGCCCATACCGAATTAAACTAAAGGAAATCGTTTTTTTAAATAGTAGTCTGTTTCCATTCACTGTGATTGACATTTGTATTCAGAGATATAAAAGGTGAAGCGTCATTAAATAAAGTTTAAAAACAAAAAGGAAGAAATTTTAAATTAAACGTTTAACTTTTAATATTTCTTTCGTAAAAACTGTATACACAGCTTATGTCAATATGAATTCATGTAAACATCTCATACGTCTTGGAACTTCAGTTTTTCAGTTAGTTTTAAACAAAGACAAACATCCTTTGTACCACTGCTTTAAAGACGTACAAAAATATTATCATACAACAAAACAGACTTTTTAGCTTCCTCTGTAGCAGAGAAAGAAATACAATATTTTTACACAAAGACCAGTGCCGCCACTGAATTTTTTTTTTACATTTTCTCAGAAGCACAAGCCCTTGAAATCGGCCACAGTGCAACAATGAAATATACATCATCCCAAAGTAAACGGTGCCGGGTTTTCATACGCAAACGACTGTGGTTTAATGGATCAGGCTAGTAGCATTACTATAGTAGCGGAGCAACAGGGAAGCAAACATACAATAAGTTACACGAGTGTGAAGTTCGGAGAATGCTACAATACTGATGTTTAAGTGCCTTGCTGTGGCATCGAAAACCTTATTGTGCAACAAGAAATAAAAAAAGGTTATCATTTTCCAAAACCTGACGCCTTTTTTCTTCCTTTCTTTACATCCAGTATAAAAAAA